GTTCTGAATTAACGATCAGGTATATAAAATGTATGTCTTTTTTTTTCTTTTCCTTAAGACTATCAGGGTCCAGTTCCTTGACTTTTCACTGGCTTTTGTTTGTGATTGTATTCATTCACTCATTCTTTAAACATTGAATGAACACTGTTCCCCATGGTCAGCCTCGGAAATAAAAAGATGACCATGACATAAGTCGCTGTTTTCAAAAAACTTTACATTCTAGATCAGGAATCAGCAACTGTTTCCACAAAGTGCCAGGAAATATTTCAGGCTTTGTGGGCCATACCATCTCTGTTCGGAGTACACAGCTCAGCTGCTATATGTAGTGTGAAAGCAGCTTCAGACAACTCGTAAATGTGTGTCAATAGAACTTTATTTACAAAAACAGGCTGTGGGCTGGATGGGCCTGCAGGTTTGTGTACCCTGTTTAGGGGACCTGTGGGCAAGTAACGAGGAATTCGGTGCGGTAAGGACCTGTGGTGGACTGGGTACGGGATTCCTATGTGAAACCCCTGGACAGGGGGCCTGACTCGTTGGGAGTGGGTAGTCTTTGAAGCCTTCCTGGAACGGTGATGTTTACACTGAGACCTTAGAGGTGTGTGGGAATAGCCAGGGGAGGGGGGCTGGGTTAGGGGGGTGAAAGGAGGGGTAGATCTGTGTAGAGAGTAGATGTTCTAGAAAGAAGGACTAGAAAGTAGCACGGCTGGAAAGCAGGTAATCAGATGAAGAGTGATGAGAAATCCTCTCAGTCTGTGAGAGGTTGACATGGTCTGCATCTCACAGCAGAGGAAGCTGACCCTTAGAGTTCCTACGTACAGAGCAGGAACTGAAGGTCTCTCCCCTTAAAATAATGCAGACACTTTTGTTTTAAGGTTCAGTCAATTCTAGGCCAGGACTTTACATTTTAGAAACAGACTGAACCAAAATGAAACGTGCTGCATGGATGACTTCATTTTGTCTCGTGGGTGGCCTGGAAGTGGGCGTGTGACTGTTGGGGAGCGTAAGAAACTCTAGAAAGAGGTGAGCCAGGAGGTGACAGCAGTATGCCTGCTGCCACAAGGCGTCTGTCCCTCCTGACAAAGAGAGGCCCCACATGAGCTGAGCGGCAGAGCTAATGCCTTTCACCGAGTTGAGGGTTCTCTTGATGGCCACCTGACGTTGAACTTGGTGGGACTTGCCTGGAGAGGACTCTGAGGGGCTGGGCGCCTCATCCTGTCTCCTGGGCACAGACAGAACATACTTGCTTGTTGCCCGGGGACCTTAGGAGAAGCAGCGTGATGTCGTGGAAGGAAACCCAGCTCTAAAATGAGACTCAAGTCCAAATCCTTGTTCTGGTACTTAACCTGCTGTGTGACTTTAGCAAAGTTAAACTCTACATCTCAGTTTTCTCATCTGTACTATAGAGGTGTTATATCTACTTGCCGAGTTGTCATAAAGAAAAACACCAATGCAAATCTGTAGCGTTGGTGCCAGGCCTATAGAAGGTGCCCCAGAAGTCTTCCAAAGTTTGAATTTAGTCTTTAGGGCTTGCCTGCCTTTTCCAGCCCTGTTTATCGTGGCTCAGAAGAGGGGTGAGTGAAAGGATATGAGTGAATATTTGTTTCCACCATTGGAGAAACAGTGCAAAGCACGGGTTCTTCAGAGGGGGTCAGAGTCTTTTTATGCAGGATACTACTTTATGATTCTGCTCTGTGCGCTGAAAGGAAACACAACAAAAGGAGTTCATGGGTGTCCTAGAACAGTCTGCTGCTACATTCTCAACAAAAGCCACTAACATCCTCTAACAGGGAAATTTAGATGCATTTAAACTCAGTACAGATGTTCAGCTCTCTCTCTTTTAAGTCTGTTGTATACAAGGTGAGGTGACGCTTTTCTGTCATTTCTCATCCAGCTAGAAATCCACAGCATTCCTTCCCCACCCCAACTTCTAGCTCACCTCAGGGATTCCCTCCCCTGTGGGATATGTAGTGACAGGACTCATGTGATGGAAAGTGGCCTTCGAGACCCCCTCCTCGTTTCTGGCAGGTTCTTGCTCGTCCTGTCAGCCAATGCCTCAAATCATAATTCCCATCAGAATCTTCCTCCTAGTCCTGTGAGAGAATAACCAGAACTGCCATATTTTATAAGTTTTCTATTATCTGATGCTGGGCTTCTTAGGTGCCTCCAACCCTATAAAGTAATCTGAGGGCACCTCAGGGCTTCTTAGGAAGTCTGAATGAAATGGGAAAGCCAGGAAAGATGCAAAGGGTACCTTTTCCTGTCTTCCATTTACTCCTTGTCACCAGCTATAAGGGTGGGAAAGAATCTTGAACTCTGCACCTGGTTCTCACAGGTTTTTACTCTAAGGATCCTTAGTTTTAGGAGTGAGGAGCCCAGGAAGGTGAGCAATGCCTGGGAGAGAGGATGACCTTAAGCTAACCTAGTATGTTGACACCTCCAGTGTCTTGTTAGCAGGAGACTGAGGCCTCAGTACCTTTTCATCCTTTTTTCTCTGGAGCCCTAGCCCTTCCCAACCATAACCTCTGGCTTGAAAACAACTTTGCAGACCAGTGGGGCCACTACTCATTGGTAGGATGGGGACAGTCAATGATGGAAATACATCACAGCTCAAGCAGGACCCGGGATAGCCCCCTCCAAGCTGTGTTGCACAAAGAGATGAGGCCCCATGCAAATTATCAGTTCTAGAATTCAGGAACGTTTAGGACTAAATATAGGTGAACACTGAGGTCGAGAAACAAAATATCTTATTCAGAATGCCTTGGGTAGACCCCTCATTTAAAAATTTCTATTCATGTTCCTTGCCCAGTGCTCTGTTGATCTTTTAGTGTTTTTCTCGCTGATTTGTTGAGCTTGTGTGTCAATATAATATCCTTTGTAATTTGATGCAGATAATTTTTTACAATTGTTTATCTTTTTATTAATTTTTTTCTTCTTTTTTTGACACATAGAAGCTTTACACTTCCAGGTGATCGTTTTTATCTTTTCCTTTGTGATTTTTTTTATCACTTTGTTAGCTTAGAAAATCTTTCCCCATCCAACTGTCTGAGAAAATATTAAATGTTTATATTTTATTGGGAGGAGTGTTGTGGATTTTTTAACATTTAACTCATCAACTCATCTCAAATTGATTTTAGCATATGGTATAAAGTGATGATTTATTTTTTTCCCAAGTAATGCCTTGCACCAGGAACTTAGCCATAAGTAGTAGCCACTTATAATTTCCTACTTGGGTGCCCTGGGAGCCATAAGAATGAGGAAGACATGTTCCTGCCCCAGTGGGACCAGCCTTAGCAATGAAATGAGATTCAGGTGATTTCAGAAGCCCATGGCAAGCAGAGGGTGTGAGAAAAGGGCACACACTGACACCTGGCTGTGACACAAGGAGGAAGCACCGTCCATCATGGCCTGGCGCCTAGTTCACAACTCAGACAGAACCTGCTATTCTTTCTCAGGTTAACATTTGGCTCCTAAGTTGGCAAGCAGCATAAACTTGCATCCCCGATACACCATTGATGACAAGAAAATCCTGTTTGAGACACAGCAGCCACTTGAAGTAATGGTTCAAGTTTTTTTTAAAAATATTTTATTTAAGATTGAATTATTTTGGCGGGGGGTGGTAATTAGGTTTAGTTCATTTTTAGAGGAGGTACTGGGGATTGAACACAGGACGTCATGCATGCTAAGCATGTGCTCTACCACTTGAGCTATACCTTCTCCCCAAATAGTGTTTTAAAGGATCAGCTGTTTTGTATTGACAAGTGGCCATCTCTTAAGGCCCAGAGTCAGAGTCTGAGACACTCTGAATTTACCACAAGTTAGGGAAGTGGGAGGGATGGAGAACGGAAAGGTGGTGAGAATGTGGGACCCACTGACATTTTGAGGTGTTGGAACAAGTTCTTGGAGATGCCATGATGTGTCCTTTGAAGATCATTTTAAGAGCAGAATACCTGTATCTGTGGTAATTTAAGGAGAGTCCTGCCTTGAGGCAGCAGGAAGATCTGGTTCCTCAAGCAAGAATCACTTGAAAGGAAGGAGTTCTGTCCAGAGACCCTGATTGGCTTCATGTTAAACACTGCGTCCACCGCCTGGGGCCTGAGGCAGAGCCAACTTCAACTCTCCTTAAAGACAGCGGTCGTTGGAGTGTGGGGAACACGCCATCTTCGGGTAGATGAGAGGGAGTCTTTGCTACGGCGTCGTTTCCCAGCCAAGGAGACATGCTCTGGAAGGAGACTGCCTTGTATGGTAGCAGACCAGGGCCAGATGGCAAAAGTGGAAGATGATTTTGTCATGCTCTTTTGTAAACTGTTCGGTGGAGCATGCAGAGTGCCACACACGGGGAGTGACTTGCCTTGATTATCTTCCTTGAGTAGTAAGTGCTGGACGTTTGCCAAGAGCAAAAATACAGCCTGAGAGTAGCAGGACATTTGTGTCTTTGGCAATTACATAAAAGAGCCTTCAAGGAGAGGCTATTAAAGGCTGCGGTTAACATTACTTATTTACAAGGCTGTTCATAAACTGTGAAGAACACGTGCCTCCATTCCAGGGATCACAGAAAATAACGACTCAATCAAGATTTATGGTCAGGAGAATGCTGTGTAATCAGTATAAATGAGTATTCAGGTTCTTTAAAATGTGAGAGGCTATGTGCAGTTTTGCTTTATCAGAATATAAGCTAATATGTTTCCATAGATTTCCAAGCAACTGGATGTAGCTCAGTAATTTAGTCTCAACATTTTTTTTTAAGTATTTAGATCTTTTGCACATTTCAGGATGACTGGAAGCCTTTCTAGAATAACTCTCACTTGTGGAAAACCATTGTTTTCTCTGCAAACACAGAAAAGGTCGTTGTAGTGGGTTGAAAGCAAGAGAGGGAGCATGGTCTGAGGTGATCAGACAGGCATACAACAGAGCTCGACTTAACTCCTGTCAGTGGCGTCTCGAAATTTTATGAATAGATTCCAGTCACCTGAAAATCAATGCTTTGTTCTTCTTCCTTTTAGGAAAAACTGTGTCTACCCCATCACATCCTTGAAGAGAAAGGCCTGGTCAAAGTGGGCATTACTGTTCAAGCATTGCTAGACATGACTGTCACGAAGGCTCTATTCACATGAGACCAACTCCTCTCCTTTGAGTCGGCTCAGATGCTTCTCACTTGGAGATTGTGAACTCTGCTCTCGACACCTGTCCCCTCCACCTTCCCACTCACTGCTTGTCAGCTCCCCAACTCTAGTTGAATTGACGGGAGGACAGAAGAGAAGATTTTTCGACCTTTCCTAACTGACCTCTGATGTTAAGACGTGACAGGTATTTACCTAAAACCCGTGAGGGAGCTGGTTGTGAAGAACCGAGCATCACATCAATGCCTTCTACAGCCTCCTTCATCCCTTCCACGCTCACCCACTGCCATTACCAAAACACCAAGCACAACTGTTCTGCGGCAAGATGCATTTGTTTTATTAAAACCAAACTTGTGTATTTCGTGGGGCGGGGGGTGGGGAACTCAATCAGGTTTTTTGCCACCAAATTTTTCAAGAAGTTTCTTGAGACCATTGCCTTTAAAAAAAAAAAAACTATTTTCGACATACAAAATATTTATATAAATATTATTTATTAGTGAGTTGTTATTCATCCTTTGGATGCAAATTGTAAATTAGGAAACTATTTTATTACTGCTTTTTTGTGGTTAAACACTTTATTTTAATATTATAAATATTGAGTTATTTTCTATCCTCTTTGGTGTGCAAGTAGTTCTAGGTCTCCATAGTCATGTTTTCTGGTGTATATGACAAAAAGATTTAAGCAAAAAACAGGTGCTTCTGTGACGAGAACTGTTTTCTGGGGAGGCATTATTTACACTTTGGTTTATGGAACTTTGGTCTTATTTATATTTCTGCATTCCATCCAGCTTCCTACATTCCAGCAGCCCTGTTGTCCCCTGATACAATGAACTGACTGAAATCAAGAGAGCACTCCAAAGTTATTGTAAATAGCTGTGATGGAAAAAAAAAGACATATTAAACTTGAAGACAGAATGTGAACAGTTATTTTTTTGGGTTCATACTTCTTTTGCTAAGCACAAAACATTCACGTTTTAACACGAAGAAGTAACAAGTGTTGGCATCATGTGTCTTGTAGTATAATTTTGCACTGTAACTTGAGTAATTAAAGAAAGTCTAGCACCAAAGGTAGGTAATAAGGAAAGCGTAGAGGAAAGTGGAAATGAGGGAAAGGTTATTGTTTAACCAAAAAGTTTTTTAGAGGTAGTTTCAGTGGCACGTGATCAAGAATTAACTTAAGGCATGTAGGACCTGGATCAGGAAACCAGCACTTTCTGCAACTGCTCTTTTTAAAAGAGGAAATGATTCTGTGATGTAGATGTGCTTCTTTAATTGCAACTTAATTGGTCGCTTTCAAAGTAGTTCATAAAACAGAGCTTCAGAGTCTCTGGTGGGAAACCATAGCAGTGCGGCAGTGAGCTGGGGGAGGGGGGCAGGTGCCTGCAACACCGAGGCAGCTCGGGAGAAGGTTAAGTAAGTCGTGCTTGTGAGGTTGAGTGGTCCAGGAGGAGCAAGTTCAAGTAATGACTAGAGAAAACCGAGCAAAGGAAAGCGATCCGTGTTGGTCCGAGAGACTCACATAGGGCTTCACAGACACACAGCCTATTTTAAGAGTCACGCGCGTGTGCACTCACCCTTTGGTTCCAAATATCCCACTAAGTCGTCTCTCAAAGTCTGGTGAATGCTGTGTCTTCACCTCTGTGAAAAGCCATTGTAAGTTTTCAGAGCCGCAGCAGCCACAAGTTGTAAGACAGATATAAAGGCAAACACAGAAGAAAAGACTTCAGGAGGACAGGATGCATTGAACACAGACTTACATCAGCCAACGCCAAGGCTGCCCTCTGGTCTGGGCAAGAGGGAGGGGTTGCTAAGAACAGTTGTTTGGATTGGCAGCTAGCAGTTACTTCCTGTCAAATGTACTGTGCACTTTAACCTAACTTAAAATATATTTTAATATTTTCCTGTACTGCACAAATACCTGTTTTGTCAAGTAGCATAATGATGTAAAGAAAGAAGACACTTTGAACAAAAAGCGTATTCTATGTAAGCAACATTCAAAGGTTGATTATAGACATAGGAATTTAGATTACTGCACCTTGATGGGCATTGAGAATGCAGGGTCCTGAAATATTTTTTTACATGTATATATGGCAACATGAAGCTCTGTAATCCTTGTTCTGAGAGATTTTTTTTTTCAAAAATTAAAATATTTCTTTTGATATTAATTTTCAGTATTTTCTTGTGGTTGGCTGTATAAATGATTGGCTTCAATATTGTGTAAAATGGCTTTTTTTACCTTCGAAATGCAGTCCTTGTACGGCTACTACGCCTTGAAGATCCTCATACATTGTTTATGTGTGCAGTAAGATGTGCGTGGCCGGCTGACCGTGCCCTCCGTGGACAGAGTGTGCACAGTGCAAATATCTTCCTTTTGTGATTTAACAGCCATTAAAACCTTGAATCTGTACAAGCCATCTTCTGATTGACTTACACATCAGATGCAGAGGTTGACTGTGGTCACAAAAGAAATCAAACATATAGTGTCATTGATAAAACAGATTGTAGCAATCATCTAGCATGTGTCGGTGTGTGTGTATATATGAAATACATATATTTTATTATATTCATGTTATAGATAAATAAAATAGGAAAAGAGTTTTCAAACTAAAATCTTCCCATCACCCACAGAACATACAACACTTAAAAGCAGAGTTGCTGTGGTCGGGGTTGGGTCGGGGTAGGGGGTCAAGGTGTCCATCAGGTGCCTCCGTCTGCCTCTTGGGTGGTGGCTCCAGAGCATCTTTGAGGAAACTTGAAGGTTCTGTGGTGCATGTTGTGGAACCTGACCCTTGGAGAGTGTAGTGGCTGTCTCCTCGCCTCCCATGAATCCGGGTCAGTGTCATCATTTTACCCACACGTCCAGCCTACATCTGGTAGAAGAGCAGCTGCTTTGAGGAATTCAAGTGAATACAGTGATGGATGGTTTCTGCCTTCTTGCTCCGAACTCCCAATACAATCCACAAGACAAAATGCTGCTACTGTGCCCAACCCCCAAATCCTAGCCGTCTTGGTCTCCTGCACCCTACAGTGCTTTGCAGACACTCTGCATTGTAAGTTGGCTGGAGCAACTGGGGATGTGTGAAGGACAACGTGGGGGATGGCAACAGGAGCACTGCGAGGAGCCTGGCAGGGCCATGTTTTCATTAGGGTGACCCATGCAGCTCAACCATACAATGCTGGCCACAGCTGGGTTCCAGCCAACAGCTGCATCTGGGGGCTCCCCAGTTCTTCCTGGGTGAGCCTGACACCTGGGCAGCAATGACTCCAGTGGGACTGGTTATCTAATCTCCCATCTTCGACAGGAGGTTGGCTAGCAGGTTCAGTTGAGTCTGGTCTCAGGGGACGTATGAACTCAGGGACTTATCTTCAGAATGGGTACTCCTTGAGTGTGGGACATATGTGTGAAGCAGGGTTCCACTCTAAACCACTCTCTTTGCTCCCCTAATATTAAGGGCCCCCTTAATAGCCAGTATTTATTGAGAAGCTACTGTGAGTTATTTATCGAGAGGCTACTGTGAGTCAAGTGTTTTACTTACAAACTTCATTAAAATAAGGCTGCTCATCTGTTTGGTTCTCTGTTGATTCTCCATTGCCTGGAACTGTGCTTATCAGGTAGTAGGCACTGGAGAGGTGTCGGTTAGAAGAATTAATGAACTTCACATATATTGTCTCAAAACTCTTACCAAATGCTATAGGGAAGGGGCTTAAAAAGGACACCTATGGGCTTGCCCACCAAATACCTAGGCTTCTAGGAACTAACCCTGCCCATTTACCAGGAGACATAGCCTAGTTCTTACCCGATGCTGTACACCTGGGTCAGATGCAGGCCCTTACTCACAACTGACCAATAATTTTTTCCCCAGGATTTTAATTCTATTCCTGGTGACAGAGACAGAAGACATAAAACCTAGAAAACATGTAGAGGATAAAATGGACACGTAGGGAGAAGTAGGGACAAGAGGCAGGAAAAAAAACAAAACCCAAAACAAAAAACTCCCTGGTGTTTCCATTTCTAGATCAGTAGTTAAAGAGTCCTGTATTTCCGAAGCTTGGGTAGCCAGGCCTTCCATGAGTACTTCCAAGAGGCTATGATTGCATCAAAGCAGTTTGAGTAGGGCTGCTATCACTTCTAATCTGAGAGCGTAAATGAACAAGCTGAGACTCAAGAGTATTCAAGTAATTCGTTCAAAGTCCCAGCAGGTAACAGAGAGCAAGGCAGAGTCCAGTTCAACCAAGTCAGGCCTATGTCCTTTTCTCTGTACAAACAGCTTCCCAGCAGAGCTAACCCAAGTGAAGTTTCTAGAGTTTAAAAAAAAAAAAAAGCCCTGGACAATACTTAAGATGCTTAGAGATGCAAAAGAAAACATATTCATGTAATAAAACCTGGTGAGCTGGGCTTACTAGGACCAGTTTAAATGCTAGCTAAGACAGATCAAGGCCAGAGCAAAGAGTAGGGGGAAAAAAAAGAGATGACAGGCACAGTGACAGGAAGCAGTCTTCTCTTTAAAGGAGGTCTAGAAAGAAGCCTCCAGTTCCTGTTCAGTTCTCTCTCCCACTTTAAAAAAATATTGCTATGATTTTTTTTAAATGTTGGGATTTTTTTTCTCTGTTTATCAAAGGGATACATGTTCATCACAGAAACTTTGGAAATTATAAAAAGGTTGGGGGAAAGCACCAGCAACCCATCTTAAGGGAGCTGTTACACTTTTGAAATATTTTCTTTGAGGCATTCGTATGCATTTTTACATAGTACAGTTTTATAGACTGGCTTTTTTTTCCTTGTTAATGGTAAAGCATATGCATTTTTTTTTTTGCCTGTATAGTATCATTTGCTGAAACAAAATGTGGGCACTAGGAGGCACCAACAGGATATTCTAAAGGCTTCCTCTAGAAGCACCTACAAGCATGCCTAGTTCCTAGAAGCACGTAGTATTAGGTGGGCAATACATAAAAGAAACAGACATGCCCAGAAATAAGGGTAAGGACCCTTAGGTCTTTGGTGATAGGGCGCTAGCCCCAGAATGGGGAAGTACCATCAGAAAGCGGTCAATAGAGGGTGCATTCTAGAAGGTGGCCACTAAGGGGTGCATTCTTAAACTCCAGCTCCACTGAAGCTCAATCCTGGAGGAAGCTTTGGGAGATGGTATAGAGCACTTCACACTTCAGAATTATCCCAGCTAAGCTCCAAGGACAGGGCTGAAGTAGTCATACCCCGAAAAACCGCCCTCAACAACATGCTGAGAAATGCTTAAAAAATAAATATACACAGTTAACAACTTTGATTATTATAAGAAAATAAGGAAACCCCTAGAGTCTCTAAACAGAGCTGAAGATGAGAGTGTTAAGGCAGAGGTGAAGCCAGGGCTGTACTGGGAGCACTTGTCCATCTTCCTGACCAAGAGGTGGTGCACTAATGGGCCCTCTGAGATTGGAATAAGTTCACGGACCCATTCAAGGTGGATCCTGAGTTGGATGTGAAATCTCTGCACAAAGTCAGTATCTGTAATAGAGCTGCATCTTCACTGAAAGAATAGGGGGAAAAATCAGCCTGTCAGCAAAGGGAGATGACAGGGACACTAGTCATTGTTGGCCAAGAATAGATGGGGAAATATTATCTCCTGTGACTGTCACCACAGCTCTCATTTTCCATAGATTTACGGTTTGAATTTCCACCCCAAGTACAGTCTGGGAAACCCCAAACTGAAGACTTGTGTTCTGGTGGGGGAAACATCTCATAGGTATACATAAGAATTCATCCCTCCCCAGGCCAGTATTTGTGCCACACAAAAGCAAGTTCAAATTTAATGGCTCCTTATATATCCTCAGTGGTCAATTCTGTACTGAACTGAAGGCTTGGCTTTTGTCTTTATTAGTTATCTTTGGCTATATGTTATCAATTATTTACTGAGTATTTAAATATTTTTGCATTTACACTGCAGAAAGGCAAAGCAACTATTTTCTTATAATGATGTGCTAACTTGGCAAGGTTACAGCTCCCAGTTATTCAATTAAACATTAATCGAGGTGTTGCTATGAAGGGATTTTGCAGATATGATTGAGGTCCCTAATCAACTAACTTTAAATAAGGAAGATTATCCTGGATAATCTGGTGGGTCTCACTCACTCAGTTAGAAGGCCTTAAAAGCAAGACTGAGGCAGAGAAAGAAGACGTTTCACCTGTGGATAACAGCGTATGCCCTGAACGTCCCTTCTTGACGGCCTGTTTTATGGATTTTGGACTTGCTGAGCCAGCCCCCACAATCATATAAGCCAATTCCTTGTAAAAAATCTCTTAATGTACATACCTACTACTAGTTCTACTTCTCTGGTTAAATCCTGAACTAATACAATGATCACAGGACCACACAACTGTTTTTCTTTACAAGGGAATTACCAACAACACGCAAAAAAATTGTGAATTAAAAAAATCTTTCTTATTAGAGGACAAAAGTTTGTTTAGACTTAGAACCATTTTGTGTGTAGCTCATTACACGGCTCAATCTTGACTAAGATATTTAAATAGTACTACTTTCAAAAATTTTAGTATAATCTGATTCATATTTACATTGTACTAATTTTATAACTTTAAGAAACTAGTATTTTCCTCAGTTACCATGTAATATACATTCTTACGTATAACCTTTGTGCTCTTTAACAGAAAAATATATTTCTTTTAAAACAACCATACTTCATACTTCCAAAGTCTGTCCATTAAGTTCTTTAAGGAACACACTTTGGTATTTACAGAGACTGATGACTTTCCTTGGCAAGCTCATCGAGCTGAATTTCTGCATATAACTAAAGGAAAATACCTGCATTTACAGTAACATATGAGACAAGTTTCCTTATCTATTTTCAGATTGAATCTTCATATTTAATTCTTGTCTCTTGAGAGATATCCATAAACCGATGTCCACAAATCTATTTGATTCAACAGGTAAGAAAAGAAATATCATTGATTGGATCCAGAAATCTGACTTCTAATCTTAACTTTCCCACTAACAACTGTGTAATGATGGGGGAATTCACTTAAACTTTATGAGCCTACTGCCTTATTCAGTAACAAAGTTACTCAATTCAGTGACTACCAGAAGCCAAGCAATTGCTAGACACTAGATATGTAACAATGAATAGAAAGAAGACAGTCCATGCCTTCAGAGGCTTTAAGTGTGGAAAGGTGGGGAGTTTAGGCTAAATTACCTTTAAATCCTGTGCTCCAGAGTTAGCATTCCATGATTTGGATGGGACTGCATTCATAGTTTGTGTCCTGCAACCAACACAACAATGATTTCCAAATGATCTAGAAAAAGTGGTAAAGTATTAAATATTTCCCATGTGGACATTGGTAAAATAACTTTTTAAATCAGAAGCAGATTTGACATTTTTATTCAGAGTGTGATTCAATTACAGAATGAAGCAGTTTTTAGCATTATGAAATCCAATGTTTAAAAATCTTTCTTCCTTGCAATTTTGTTTATTACAATTTTATAATCCTGAAAAGACTCTCTATCTGAAGCTTTTCACGCATTCAGGTATTTTGCATGATGTCTGATGTGATCAGTAATAAAGGTTGCAATGAAGTAGTAGCTGTGATCATAACCCTAGAAGACAAAATAGAGAGATATTAATCTATTCAGATACATCAGTATTAGGGACATTAAATATATCTTTCATGTCACTTAATTTGCTTGTAAATAATCAAACTATCACAATATAAGAAAAGCTCATAATCAAAGTAAAGTATATTACACTTCTACTTCAATATTCTCACTAAAAAATGAGTAGCAAAAGTGTGAGTTAAAATGAAACATTCTGCATAGCCTAGTTTCTAGATGCTGCCATTTATATGCAAAGAGAAGAAACAACACATTAATTAAGTGTACAGAGTAAATGTGGTTATATCAACAAGGACTAAAAGACTCAGAATTTAGAGAGCTTAGAAATATGGGCAAGAAGTTTCATTCAATTCACTCGAGATGCACTGACATCAATAAGAGAATGTTAAAATACAAAATAAGCACAAATAAACAATACAGAGACAGAACATGAGAACGCGCAAATGCTCTATCACTGGGAAGTTAAATACAGCCATCATAAATCATGTTAAGAATTTGACATCCTGCATAGGAAAAGCATATCATGTCTTCATCTGAGGAAAAAAGAGTAATTCATTAAACCCTGGCACCCCTCAGCAATATACCAAACTGGATAAAAAGTCAGTAAACTTTCAAAAACTACCATGAAGCAGAGAAAAATGTAACATGCCAAGTAGTTGAGCTGAAACAGATCTCTATCTGGTCAGTTAAAACCAGTGATAGGTTATCAGTGGTAAATGGAGAGGCAATCCTTCCTTGGAATGTCCTCTGTGTACAAAATAAGTAGCTTTCAAAAGAAAAAGAAAAGAAAAATAGGGTGGGAAAACTTAAGAGTGTTAAACACCAGAAAATTTGGGGGATAGTCCTCACCCTGCCAAAACAAAAGCAATATAAAAAAATGAGAAAGGTAAAAGTCTAAGAAAGATTTTTATTTTTAACTTAATCTAGTGAATAGTCTTCAATGGGAAGAAATAATTTTTCTAAGCACGTAAGAAACAAAAATAGACCTAATAAAAATATGACGTGGGTTTCAGAGAACAAGGCAATGTTCTCAGTCTCTTACTTCCAGGGGTATGCAATGTACATCTTGAGAACAGCAGTTAATAAAGAGTTCTAGTTTAAAGCCATCAAAGTAACTCAAAAGCAATCTGGCTTCTATTTTCAGCAGCCAGATTATAAAAGTAACTGATAGGAATGCTGTAAAAATTAAGGTTAAGTCTTGGAATTACTTGGTTTCACATCTCTCAGTGATTAGACCAGTCTCAGTTAATTAGCTAAATTTAGAGATGAAGGGCAGTTTTTAACATAAATAACGTTAAAGGAAAGCATTTTCCATCCACGCAACTTTTGAATTTTTAAGAGGTTTAACGTATCCGTGATTTTCAGGCCACAAAACGTGTGAAATACAGTACCAAGTAGTACCTGTCTTTTTTCACAGATGAAAAGATGGATATGACTGAAAATAGGTATAGACGCAAGGAAACAGACACTTCAAAACACTCGTGTTAACAAAAATCCTAATGTGACTTAAGTATGCTGTATTTCTATGCTGAATTTCACTTATCTTCAGCCAAGCCTTGCACCATTTCAGGCACACAGTGGTTCGCCACCATGATTACTACTGTTATTATTTATTATTATTATATTAGGGAAGTCCCAGAGCAAACCAAAGTAACAACTTCGAGCTCTCAGGGGTGTATTGCAAGATAACAACGTATTCTAGCTAACATACAAACCAAATGTCCTTAACTTCCATAATGATACTTAACTGAAGATCTACCTACACGAGAACATAGAAAATGCCTGTCATGAGGGACCAAGAAAGATTTTTTAAAATGTTAACATAAGGGCCAGAGAACACGTCAGAATCAATGGCATTCTGGTAGATAGAAGATGCTTGTATCATTAGAACTGGTTGTGTCATTCTTGACTAGTTTCAAGCTCTGTTTTTCAAGATTATTAAATGGGGGTGGTTCCTTTCATCAAATTCTTTTGAGTTGGTTTGTACATCAAACAGCTTGTGTGATTATGTACACTTAGTGACACTCGAAAGGGCTGTCTTTTCCTCTTCTACCTCACACTTTAAACAGAAAAATTCTTGGGAGCAAACCTCTGACTCTTAGAGTACAAAAATAAACGAACACATTCTTTCATTCTTTGCTCAACTCTCAAAGCAGCAGCAGTGCTCCAGTAGCTACGATGAACATTTATTCTAACAGGCAGTGTTCCCTACGTATTTTCCTGACCTAATTAGCAAAGCTCAGAAATGACTTCCCGAGTTGTTAAGTCTCCTCAGAGGACAAAGAAGAAGACTGCTGAAAGGTAACTCACTTGTTTTGCACAGAGGCCAAAACTACTTCTGAATCTTCAAAAAGGGCCTGAGACTTGAGGAGGTACTATGGCCTTGCTTCAGTGTTGTTTCTGGAAGTTTCTACTAGGTCACTGAAATCTTCTTCACTATGTTACTTCAATAACAGGTAAGACATACTAGGCCTTCCCTCTTCAGACTAAGACTTGACCTGTATATACCAGCTACCAGAATTCTGCTACCTTGTGCATTTTCAACTTCAGATTCACTGAAGCCAAAAAAGAAAAAGTATGAGGTAAAAAGCTAAATAAATATCTGTACGCACTACCCTTCCCTCTCCATTTTTTTTGACAGTTGATAGAGTATAAATATAGATTGTGAGCATTTAATAACATTAAAAAGAGGAAAATAAATGAAGTTGGGAAAACCATGACTGTAATAATCTTCTTTCTTCCTTTTTAGATCACTTATTTATATTTATCCCTTATTATTTTCAGCTTATTTAATCCTTCAAAGCTCCCATTTCATAAAGAAATACAGATCAACTGTACTAATAATCAAATGACAAAGCAGATGATAAGACCCTCAGACCTGAGGTAATTCGAAGTCAGTGAAGTTGGCTTGAAAATCTGAAAGTAGCCTCTCTGAAGCCGCTACCCCAGCATGTCCATTCAGTGGCCCATTCAGTTACAAACATGACCTGCTTCAGACCGTAGTTCACTCTTAACCTGACCATGCTGGAAGGAGAGTGAATGGGAAATTGTGCCTGAGCTACAGGTTGTGACTGATGATGTCAATACCTTCTTACTTTTTTTTTAGAAGAATTGAATGCTTTGTCTTGACTCTTCATTAAGTACAGACAACTAGGTTTTTCAGTTGCTTAGGAAATAGGCATTTTAGAAAGAAGTAAGTTGACCTGAATTTCATCAGTGTTCTAATTATAATGTTTTTACAAACAACTCCAGAGACTTTTTTCAGTCTTTGTAGGCAGGATCAAATTTTGTTGTTGCTAGCAACAACAGAATTTCCTGGCACAGACTCAGGGGAAGCAGAAGAGGCATCCAATATCACTAGCACCAAGAAGTTAAAGTCATTTGGGAAAAAAAACATGGTTTGTTACATCACTTATAGCTATAGTTAATATAGTTAAACACACTACTATCCTTATAATCGAATATCTCACAGTTGATGGTTGATCTAAAACACACAAGTCTGATGATACATGTTCAAATTAACATAAAAAATTCTATTTCTAAAGGATAGATACAAACAAGGCATATAAAATGTACTAGTTTCTGACATATTTTTGCACATGATATATGTATTGCTTATGTGTTAAAAATATCAAGATTGCTAAGATCTGCTGCACGAGTTAGACAAGTAGCAGATCATGCACCATTTCTTCTTGTGTTAGCTCTAATTCTTTCCCTTTGCTCCTCAAGAGTACTGCTTCCCAACCATTGCTCAGGAATGGTTAGACAGACAACAGGAGGACAGTATTTGTAGTATTTGCTTCCAGTCCTGGTTCCACCATAAACTAGCTGTGTGACCTTGGTAGGTTACTTTTCTGAGCCTGTCTCATCTGTAAAACAGATGGCCAGGAAGCATATGTTGAAACCCACAATGAATGTCCTACTTAATGGTGAAATAGTGAAAGCTTTTTCTCTAAGATCAGGAATAAGACAAGGATGCCCACTTTCTCCGCTTCTATTCAACATAGCACTGGCAGTTCTAGCTAGAGCAATTTATAAGAAAAATAAAGGAATCCAAATTGGAAAGGAAGAGGTGAAATTATCTCTGTTCATAGATAATATGATCTTATATATAGAAAATTCTAAAGATTCTAAAAATAAACTGTTAAAGCCAATAATTCACCAAAATATCAGGATACAAAGTCAACACACAAAAAATCAGTTGCATTTCTATATACTAAAAATGAATAATCTGAAAAAGAAATTATGAAAATTTACAACAGCACCAGAAAGAGTAAAATACTTAGGAATTAACCAAGGAGGTGAACTACTTGTACAAATGAAATTATAAATCATTGCCAAAAGAAATTACAGGCACAAATAAGTGGAAACACATTGCATGTTCATGGAATGTTACAGTGTTAAGACTACCCAAAGCAATCTATAGATTCACTGCAATGCCTATCAAAATCCCAATGACAATTTTTGCAGAAATAGAAAAAAAAAGTCCTAAAATTCATATGGAATATCAAAGGATCCAAATAGCCAAAACAATCTTAAAAAAAGAAGAAAAAAACCCCCTGAGATCTCACACTTCTAGATTTTAAAATTTTCTACAAAGTTACAGTAATCAAAAAGTGTGGTACTGGTATAAAGAAGATATACAGACCAATGGAATAGAATAGAGAGCCCATAAATAAACCCTGAAATACATGGTCAAATGATTTTTGACAAGAGTGTCAAGACCATTCAATGGTGAAAGGATAGTCTTTTCGTAACTAATGCTGAGAAGACTAGACATGATATATCCACGTGCAAAAAACTGAAGTTAGATCCTACCTAACACCATATACAAAAATTAACTCAAACTGTATCAAAGACCTAAATGTAGGTCTTAGAACTCTAAAACTATAAAACTCTTAGAAGAAAACATAGAGCAAAAACTTCATGACAATGGACTTCCCAACTATTTCTTGGATATGATACCAAAGGTACATGTGACAAAATACAACAGTCAAAATGGACTTTATGAACTATATGGATTTCACGTGAACTTTATGAATATTAAAATATTTTGTGCATCAAAATACAACACCCACAGAGTAAAAAGGCAACCCACAAAATGGGAGAAAAACATTTGCAAATCATTTATCTGATAAGGGATTTATATCCAGAATATACAGAGAACTGATAAAACTCAATACAAAAAGCATTCAACACAAAAAGCAACTCAGTGCAAAAATGGACAAAAGACTTTCTCAAAAGATATACAAATGGCCAATAAGTACATGAAAAGATGCTCAGCATCAGTAATCATTAGGGAAATAGAAATCAAAATCACAGTACCACTTCATACCCATTAGGATGGCTACTATTCCTCCCTCCCAACAAAAAAAAAAAAAAAGGAAAGAACAAAGAAAAAGAAGTGTTAGGGAGGACGTGGAGACATCAGAAATTGAAACCCTTGTACACTGTTGATGGGAATGTAAAATGGTATGTATACCTGCTATGGAAAACAGTATGGAGTTTCCTCAAAAAATTAAAAATAGAATTACCATATGATCCAGCAATTCCACTTCTGCATATATAACCAAAAGAACTAAAAGTAGAATCTTGAAGAGATGTTTGTACATCCATGTTTATAGCAGCATTATTCACAACAGCCAAGACTTGGAAGCAACCTATGTGTCCATTGGCAGACGAATGGATAAGCAAAATTTGGTGCATACACACAATGAAATACTATTCAGCCTTAAAAAGGAAGGAAATTCTGACACATGATAAAATGGATGAACCTTAAGAGAACTATGCTAAGTGAAATAAGCTAGTCACAAAAAGACAAATACTATATGATTCCACTTATATGAGATACTCAGAGTAGACAATCATAGAGACAGAAAGTAAAATGGTTGTTGCCAAGGGCTGGGGGCAGGGAGAAATGGGGAGTTAGGGTTTAATGTGGGTTTACAGTGTTTCAGTTTTGCAAGGTGAAAAGAATTGTGTGGAGATGAATTCTGAGGCTAAGTTATGTACATAAAATGAAGAGGAATTAAGGTAGAATCTTGTCCTTTTATTTTACCACAACAATAGCTGCACGTGTAAAGATACATAAAAGCCTTCCTATTTCTGTGGAATTCAGTCTTAGATATCATTAACTTAGTAAGGAGGCTTTCACTTAAAGCATCTTATTACTAATTAAAAAATGTCTTGTGCTTGCTTCCACACACATATACTAAAACTGGAAGGACAGAAGATTAGCGTGGCCCCTGTGTGAGGGTGACACACAAATTCATGAAGTATTCCTTATTTTTAAAAGAAAAAAAATTTACTTCAAATTCTAAAATAAAATAAAGAAAGTACAGTGGAATCTTGCTTTTTTATAGTTAATTTAGAACAAGTTAAAGCTTCCTAGTACTTACCTCTTGTAATCTAAAAACAACAGGGATTTTCTTTTCTGTACAGGCAGCTATGAAGTTATCGGGTAGTAACTGTCCATCTGAAAGAAACTGGTCATCTTTTCCTTGATCAATCAGTATATCCAGCTGAGAGCCTGGATAGGACTTCACAAGGTGGGTAGCATCATAAGCCTATGAGAAGAGGTGAAATAATAATAAATAAATTTGAAGGTCCCCAGAAAGATATTCTTCAGAATATCCTATACTAGAACCAAATAGAAATTTAAGTCATTTAATCTCTAAGGCCTATTAAATTGAAAATATGCTTTTAAGTTGGCTTGCCTGATTTTTATCTATAAAGTCTTCAGAATTCTAATTCTCAATTATAGTCTCTTCCTTATTTTCAAGCAGTCCTAGAGCAATGGCAAGAATTCTATCTTTCAAACATTCTTCATAGTATAGCCTTATTTTCCTCTAAACCTTTAATCTTAATCACCTTTCAAAGCCACCTGGAGAAAGATGATCTCAACAAGGTTCCTTTACAGGCTACCTCTCCCCTACTTATTTCTCCTAATCATTTGGTCTTTTACTCAATTCTTCTATTAGACCATAAGCCCCCTGTGAACAGGGCAGGTCATCAACTTCATGACACAAGATCTCAAAACTCCACACAGGCTCCACACATGGTGAGGACTCAAGACACTGATGTACATGCACAGTGAATGCACTGTTCTCAAAGTTACTAATAGTAATAACTTTCAGCATTTTTTCAATATAATAAAAATCTAAGCCAAAGCAAAACAAAACTCTATTCTAGTGACTAAAAGATTAACCTTCCAATTTGTTAGGATTTCAAAGACCAAACTTGAATAAAAGAGGGGTCCATGTGTGAATGACTTTGAACAAATAGCAATAATATAAAAAAGTTCTTTGTTCCCCACTCAAGTATTTTCTACTTGTTAACATGCACATGATGATGAGTTCATTTGCAAAATATTCAAACTCTTGATGGAGTTTGTAAATAGCCCATTTCTGCATAAGAGCAAAATGAGTCTCAGGAAAAACTGCCATTTTTATTTTCATTTAGAAGCATCTGCTTCGATGCTTGAAAAAGCAATCTTGCTGTTGGAAATATTCTCATAAATGTACATTACATACACAATATCTATTTGTAAAGGCTTTTAAGTCTGGAATTTAAAATCCAAATTTGAGAGATGTTAGATTTTGAAACAGATACATAAAATACAAAGCCAGGCTTTGTGGTTTTTATCATACAATTGAGCACATAATTAATAAGAGGTAAGTCTAAATTTAGTAATATGGTTTTTTTTAAATAAACATATAAATTAATCATTAGCAGAAAAAAAAAGGTAGCCTCAGAATATTTGCCATAGTTCAATACAGTTTAAAAATATTCCTTGTTATTACTGGTATTTGTATATACTTCTGCTATTTATTTTTAGCTCTGGATCCTGAACTTGAGTGAACTAGGAATATGTCTGTAGTGTATAGCTTTTCAACAAATTTGAAAACTTAAGAATGAGTATTAAGACAGCTGTCCAGTACTTACCTTCCATTTACTTTCATCTGTTCCCAAATATCCACGAAAGGCTTTTTTGCCCCAAGGACAGAGCACTGGGTTGCAAATTGGAGCAAATGCTGACACAGACTACAGAAACAAAAAAAAATTTAAAAACAAGTTATATTTTGCTAAATCGAATATGAACAGATATTTGCAACTTGCTTCAAAACTTTGACCTGCCATAAAAATCCCTGTGAACAATTTTCCTTTTGCTATATTATGGGCTTAGATTGTACATCTCTCCAAGATACCACATCCTTTATGTGCTCTATTAAAAGAGCTAATAAAATATAAATGCTAAAATAACATAAAATAATACATTATGTTTTCATTAAAAAAGGCACAAATGGAGTTTTATGTTCAGAGTTTCTACTCATTTTTTCCACTTAAAATGAATGAGTAGCAATATAAAATAGTTCATGCCTACCTTTATGAACATGTTCTTAAATTTGAGACATACTATTTTTCTTAAATGGTGCCAAGAAAGCACTGAGCAATGCCCTTAAATATGGCAGACTTTTTAACACCATATAATTTTGTGTTCTGTGATGTTTTTCACTGGCGAAGGTGAAGAAATGGAATCTCTCAGTTTGAGTGCTTATCAATGTATATATTTATCAATGTCTGCTAGCTTCTTTAAAGGATAAACAATTTAACTAAATTTGATTTTCTCCCTCAAACACAATAAACTGATTGCCTTATGTACAAAAAAGGGAAAATACATCCTTATTTAAAAAACCCACTGTCATGCCATGAATTAGTTCAACTTTACAATAAAAAAAGCTTACCAAAAGGAAAATATCTGATGTCATAATAAGAAACTGCCACGAGAAAATTTTGTTTTTGAGGAATATTTTCATATTTCTTAGTAGCACACCTTAAATGATTAAGGAGTCCTTCTTAAGGAAGCAAATGAATTAAACAAATCTTGAGGTTCCCGACAGACTTACGATTTTTAAGACAAAAGCAATCTTAAGGTGATCATTGCTCCAACATTTCCTTTTTCAACACAATAATATGCTTGCTGCTGTGCTTAGTATGACATTCTACATATGGTGGTTATTCTAACTTGGCTCATTTAAACAAACAAAGAGTGGACCCACAAAGTTTCAAATAAATGAGTGCAAAGGCTGAGAGTGATATTTTTCAATCAAGCTCCATTCCAATTTTTATCAAAGGCACTGAGAACAGGGAATTCTTAAACTTTTACGAATCATGAGTATCTTCTTCTACCTCAGAAAAATCAAACTTTGGAAAAGATATTCCTCGTAAAAAATGTAAGTAAATGATAATATACTGCAACAATAACAGCCAAGAATAATCTTTAGGGAAAGAAAAAGCCTAGAAAACTATGGTTTGAATACAAGCAATGAAAATTATTTATGATACTTCTAGCAGACCAACAAGAAACCACTAGGATAGAATTCCTACACTTCTGATTCTGGTGTATAAGCCGTGTAGTCAAATTTATTATTCTTCTCTTACAATTCCTTGAAATTCCTAACACTAGAAAAGTTTAGTCTCAATACTAAAACAATGGTATTTTAATTTCAATCTTTTAAAGCTCCTAATACTATACTATTCAAGAGAAATATCTGTCACTAGAAGCTTAGGTAATCTTACTTTATATTTTCCAGGATTCTTCAAAGTACAAATTAGAGCTCCATGGCCTCCCATTGAGTGGCCAAAAATAGACATCCTTTGGGGGTCAACTGGAAAATTGGCATTTATGAGTTGAGGAAGCTGAAGAGAATTTAATAGTGGGACAAAAGATATGAGAGAAGTTTAGACTTTTTCAAAGTTATGTAAAAAAGATTACACAATCAGTACTTCCAAATCACAGTTTTAAACTATAGTAAAGATTAAAAAATATGTCAGGTAAACAATAGTTACAATATATCACTGAAGAATATATGGTACTTCCTCTTTAGAAAACAACTTTAAGAAAATGATGCAGAAAGACACTTTACAATGTTCTAAACTTTTGATCTAATAGTTTCACTTCCTGGAATCTATTCTAAGGGAAAAGTCCTTAGGAAGAAAAATTATATGCAAAGATAAACAATGCATAATACTTATTATGCTAAAAATATGTAAATATATAAATAACCTACATTAGAAAAAAGTAAATCAAGGAGTATGACAGAATATTATACAATTATTTAAATTATATTACAAGTAGATCAGAATATTAGAAATATTTTATACAACTAAAGAAAAAAAGAACAAGATAAAAAATATTTTACAATTGTATGAAAACTAGTCATAAAAAAGTCCAGAATATACCAAAATATAGTTGTTGAGATTACAGAATAATGGGTGATTAAAATTTTATACTATTGTTTCTGAGTTTTTATGATGTGCACATTAACAATTAAAATAATAAAATTTAGAAAAATGCATAAGCTGCACATAAGTATTATTAACAGAAGCAGTGCTTTACCACATCCTTTCTGATTATGGTTAATCACTACAAAATATGTCTGACTGAACCAGCTGCCAGAGAAATGCAAAGTTTTTCATACACTATTTTCTCTGCATAACCTGGGAAGTGTATACAGGAATCTATATAATTATTAACTCTTTACAATTGTACATAATTTAAATTGCAGTAAATAGACTTATAGTACTAGTAAACTCTGGAATTTTTACTAAGATGATTAATAAATGTGTACCAAATAGATTCAATAATACCACACCCTAGTTTAAAATTCTCAGGGCTGGAAGGACCTCTGTGTCCAAAATCAAACTTTGGCAGTTTGATTTTGATCAATTAATAATCACACTATAAATTAAATCACCTCCTCTGTTATATAAGAGTACATTCTGTAGTTAGTTTTCCAAGGATCTTCAGTGGCATCCACATAAAACCCAGCACCAGTGCCAAAGTCCCAGCTGTCATCTTCTCCTTTAATATTGCAGCCACCTACCAAGGAAAAATTTTGTGGTTTTATCTACTCTGTAGTAATGCCCCACGTTTAATAACACACTCTGAAATGAATCTCAAAGTTCATTTGCATTAGAGCTGTTCACCAAATATGTGGGCTCTCTGCCTTTAAGCACATACTTCCTGCCCCCTTGAGTGGGGCCATGTGACTAGTTCTAGCCAATGAGGCAAGAGAAAGAATGCCCTTCCAGGCTGGGGGATTCTCTGACAGCATAAGGCACACTGGCTTTGCCGATGAGGCTCCCTCCTGTGGATTCTGAACATAAACTCCCTCACTTGGTTTTTACCTGTCAAAGTGCTTGTATCCTCCTTTTATCTTTCAGAAATGTATTGACATTCCTTCTCTGATGACTCTCCCCATTACCCACACTCCTTTTCTTCTCTTTACCACTATGATCTTATAAGGGAAGTAGGACAAATGCTTATGTTCAATTCACTACCTTGAACTGAAAATGTTTCCTTATGTACTTTGGAATCATTCCATCATGTTTCCCTTATTTACCTGTCCCTCAGTGGGGTTTTCTTATATTCTTTTAAAAAATTTATTATGTTTTATTTTACAGACTTGCATGTAGTTAAAAAGCCAACCACTGGAATTTTGAATGAAATTACAGTAATGTGTAATTTGAGGGAAATGACCTCTTTATAATAGTGTCTACTCATACAGGAACATGGCATTTTTCTATTTATTAAAGTCTTCATTTATAATTGTTAGTGAGTTTTATGGTTTTTTAAAATAAATCTTCATATTTTCAGGTTTATTCCTAGGCATTTTATACTTTCAATGCTGTTCGGAATTAAATCTTTCATTGCATTTCCTGCAAGAAGTCTTGCTTTTGTTTAATATGGACTGTGAAAGGAAATGCACTATTTTCCAAGGCCAGCCATTTAATGTCCAGATAGTTTTAGGTACGATTTAAATTCCATTTCCTGACACTTCTGGGTCACAAAACAAGTTTCAACCATCTGATGGACTGAATTCTCAAATATTTGATATTCTCATTTCTCTAATATAAACATTATTATCATTTATATTAAAATTAATACTTGTTTAACTGTATGACTGTTTGATGACTAACAGAAATGAGACAAGATAATTATCACGTGACAAGACAGTTTACCCAAGGAACAGAAAAAAAATTTCCTATGCATTGTGGCTTATTTTGACACAAGTGCCAATATGACGTATTAATTGAGTCGCCCAACCTGTTCTAAAGTGTCTTAATCTGCAAAATGAAAATAGCAAACTGTCCCTTTTCATAAGAGTGGTATTATGAATAAAATTCAGTGAGGAAAATGTATAGCATGGTATTTTACAGTCATGATGTTGCTTGAAAGATTAATAAGTAACAAAAATATAAAATGAATTGTACAGTATAACTTAGTCTCAAAGATTTATATTTTTCCAAAGGATCTCTGGAACAAGAACACTTACGAGGGCTGGTATCTGGAACTATAACGATGAGGCCATGTTCCGAGGCAGCTTGATGATAACCAGATTTTGATATAAAATTTTGTTCTGTGCAAGTTAAACCTGAAGATCAAAAATATTGTTATCTCATGCTATACTATTATGGTTTATAAGCTTTAACCTTTTTATAACACAGGAAAACAAGCTTACTAGTATTAAAAAGTTTTTTTTTTAAGAAGTAATGCTGAAGAAGACACTAAAGCTCCCCTTCTTATAAAATTTCTAACAGTATTTATCTAAGAACTGTCTTAGGTTAAATGCCCCCAAAGCTGTCCTTTGAAAGTCACTCACTAAAATCTCAATTACTGATATCCTTAGGGCCATGTGTTTGGGAATTCAGAATTTTTCAAACTGTAGAATGGCAATATGATGCATAAACCAAATGCTGTAACAATGCCAATGGTATGTTATCAAGCATGCTAATTAAACACGTTACTATTTCTGCATCAAAACATAAACATTCACAGTAAATGAGATAATGTAGTCATCGTAATACAGATAATATTTTTATATACAAGTAGTTCTCAGCAATAAAATTTAGCCTAATCATCTTTATATTCTTCAGTATACTAAGTAGAGAATAATGGTCACCATATATTTTTCTTAAATTGAGTTTTAGCCCCAGTTTTCACAACCATTTCTGCCATTTTTTCCTAGCTCTGTGCTTTTCAGCCATGTGATAGAAGAGATGACTTAATTCTCTTACGAGAATCTAATACTATAGTGACATGAGAATGGCCAAGAACAAACTAGCAAGAGATGTTTGAGCTAAATACCCCCTAACCCAGTGGCTCTTTTCCAGGGGCCAATGTTAAATATCCTAATACATCTGATAATGAACAATGTCAAAGCTTACTGATATGCATGAAGCAATATGAATTAACTACAGAACACTTTTATAGTTTCTATTTATCCCCCAATAGCCAGCACAGAGACTTATGAAATGGTTGCCCAATAAAGATTTGTTAAATGAATAAATACCTATAAGATACAAAGATACAAGTATCATTGGATAAAATGTTGCAGGAGTTTATGGTTAAATAAATCATTAGGACAAACATACTTTACATAGTTATGGCAAGAGAACAAGGTCCTTGTTTGTTCCCTCACAGAACATCTTCCAGAGATACTGGAGCCATATCATGGTGGAGAACTGGCCCAAATGCTGACAAAAGGTGAGCATTTTGCTGACCTTAACATAAACATATTCAAGGGAGGCAGGGTAGTAGTGTAGAAAGCATGAGTTTTGAATTTCAGACAGGATCTGGTTCTAAAAGTCTCTCAGTCACTTACCAGCTAAACAAAATTATGCAAGTAACTTGAATATGCTGAACCTCAGCTCTTTCATTTGAAAAATAATGGGAATGATATTGCCATTTTTTACTCATAAAGTGGCTGTGAGGATTAAAAGTGGTAACACATAAGGAACCCTGAAACGTATCTGGGACACAGTGCATAGTGTCTTGCACTTGAGAAATACAATCTATTTAGAGACCAGAAAAAAATGCGCTTTTTTTTTTTTGTTAGAACATAAATTTCTTGATTAAGATAGTAGGGAGTGAATTGCAGACTCACAGAAATGAAGATAATTCTCCTTTGTAGGATCACATTCAAGTATATGAAGATGGGTACTAACTAATATCTACTTGATCAGCTCTACTTATTTTATATGAAGAGCTGGGGGGGTTATTTTGTTAACAACTTTACTGAGGTATAATTCAGATGCCATACAGTTCACCCATTTAAAGCGTCTGGGGCTTATTCTTGATGAAACATACATAAGGGAGGGTTTATTAAATCAAAGTCATAAGAAGCAATTTTAAAGAAACACAAATAGAACTCTACGATGTAATTTGGCTCCTATGAGTTTCTTCCTATGTTTGCTTCCAAAGATGAAGTGCCAACATCTTGCGAAAGGAAAGTTAGCACAAGGTTCAAAGTACTGGCAGCAAAACCTTACTCTCTCACAATCCATTCTACACTCTTGAATGATCACCACCGACTAAGGAGCATTAGTGTTCTTTAGTGATGTTCTCGATTATTGCCAGAGAAGACCTGTGGAGTCCAAATAAAATATTCTAGAGAGCACCGTAAGAAGTTACTTGTCTGTGGTTTCTAATCAGCATATCACAGGTGTCCTGGTTTTACCTAGTATTGTTCTATTTGAGTGGTAAATTCTCTAAGAAATGCTTGGGTAGGTACAAACTAAATAAGTTTTCTAAGCTCTTGCCAGTGAGTCTAGAACTTTATATTCTCAGCTAAATAACTTGGTCTAATTGAAAAAGAAGTAGAATAAATGTAATTCAGTAGGTCTGAAATTATTCTCAGGATAAAGCAGGAGTAGACTATGACAGGCTCCTAAAGTCTTTTATAAATGATTCAGAAAGCACATCAGTAAGTCAAGACTGAAGAGTAAGATCAACTGGTTAAAAAGAGAAAGAAACTCCTTTATGAACCAGTGCATAAAGCTTACCAGACAGCCAATACAGTGCAGGGCATTTTCCGGTTTCTGCCTTTGGTGGTAAATAGACAGCAAATTTCATTTTGCAGCTCAGTTCAACACTGTAATTTCAACAGCCACCAAAAAAACAAAAAAAAACCCCCACAAAAACAAAAACAAAAAAACCCTCATTAGTCAAGACATAAACATAAAATAAGTGATTTAACATTCAAAATAAGTGATTCCACCAACATTTCAGGACTGATTACATCTTAGCTCTTAAAGAAAGAACAGAGCCAGTTTAGCATAATGATCTATTAACCAACCTGAATCTATGCTGTGTATAGTATACAGTCATTCTGAGCAGAATGAATAAAAGAATAAGTGTAATATCCTCAATGTAGCACTAATATTATTAAAAGAAAAACTGTTTCTGTTTCTAAAGAGATGTATGAAATAATAAATCAGCTTGCATAAGACAGCTACATATTTGCTCATGGGCACTGAAATGTACCACATCCTTGATTTGTTTTTTATCATTAATGTTTTGTTATCTTCACTAATATCAAAACTAGGTAAAATAAAGTTGATAAAAAACACAGGTATTTTTCCATGTAAACAGTAATTCATGCAACAATGATCTTTTATGGGCTTATTTGAAGAGTCAAAGAGATGGAAGCAGAATGAGAGATATCTAAAACTGTATCTTCTAAGTAATTACCTGTCATGTTCAAAAACTTTCTGCAATCCTCCAAAGCACTTGTTGCTGGAAATCTGTTTCAATGCCATTCTTCTCCTATTAGTGAAGATTAATGTCATTAATTTCTAGAGAATTAGTTCCTAAAAAATTGGAAACAAAACCTAACTCTTCAGATAAATTATCTAAACATACAACTGTTTTCCACCTTGAATTTTTTCACATACTAATTTTCTCTGATAAATAATATTATGAAACTGACTAATTTTGATACATACATTTACACTTGTTACTCACTTTAGAAAACTTTAGTACTTTGGTATGTCATTACTAATTTATTAACAAGCTTTTTTGTGTGTGTCTGTGGACTGCCCCAAATTCTTTTTAGAAAGAGGCAGAATATAAATAAGTTATTAACTAATTACTTTAGCTTATAAGATTAAAAATGGTTAATATGTTACATGTTAATTGTAACACAGGAGTCAGTGGTATGACTGGTTATGGCTGACATTAAAATGGGAGGAAAATGATCTAACAATGATTTTGATAGTAATAACAGATAACATTTACTTAACACTTACAGTATGATAGGCACTCTCCTATATGTTAAATCAGATCAAATTACTCATCCTAGGAAAGTTTTTCAGAGAAAGTGATAAACAACTTAGATCAACATTTCTCCTCTTAAAACAAACCAATAAGTAAAACATAACGTTGTCCTAAGTGAATTAAAAGTGCAGTTTGCATGGGAAAACTTTCAAGTTTGGTAATTCTCTTCTCTCCAACACATCTTTAAAGTTTTCATAAATAATTTTAACTTAAATGTTAAAATACCACATGTTATTCATTTTTAACAATAAATACCAAAAAAAAACCAAACTGAAAAACTATCTTTATGGTAATTGCCTGTTGAACAAAGAGGAAATCAACTGATTCTGATTTGAATCTCTCAAGGAAGGATTCCCTTTCCCTCTTTATTACAAATCAGTAAGCCATACACACTAAATAAAAAATCCTCTGATACCAGGAACAGCCATTACCACTCTGGTGGTCTTCTCAGTGAAATGTCCTACAGTATGCTGATCAGTGGTGGTGTGACAGTTACTCTAAAAAGATATGTAACAATTACCTTAGAAAGCTAATTTTGGAAATGCCTCTGCAAAATTCTAAATAAGATTAACTTCAATCCTACTTTTAGGTAATTGCTTCAATAAATCCAAATACTTAGCTGTGCACTGGAAATCTGGGATGTCAATCAGAAAGTGTGACATCAGAGTCCCTACTCTGCTGTTATGCTCTCCTGCCTCCCTGAGGGTCTTTAACTACTCTTAAAAAAACTTTTTTAAGATATTTTAAGATTGCCTAATTTTATATGATTAGGGTATTACAATTACACACAGAAATTACCTTCTATTCATAGGTTTATACTTTTAATCTACAAAAGACCAATTTTTAAACAAACTGCCCACCAGATTTTATTAATTATTGAATGTTAATTTTAGCTACTCTTGTTCATGACACTGTCTTAAATAACGAATGAAAAGAGATAGATGCAAACTTTTAAAATATATATACATGAGACCAAGGAATAAAATTTATTTGCTGAATTATTCTACAAGGAAATCCTATTTTTTTAAACTAGCAGGGGCTATCTGCTTTCCCAAAACATGATACACTGAGTATATATCTAGTACATAAGAGGTACCTAATAATTATTTGAATTAATGAATACATTTTAAAATTTCTACCTACCAGTTTTGTGAAAGTTTTAAAAATTAGCTTATTCTCTACCTTTGTTGTTTTTACACTTTGTTATTCATACCTAGGCTATTTCCTCTGCTCTTTGAATGTTGTTTAATTAAAATTCAAAATCAAATACTTTTCATTTGGCCAGAGAAAACAAAGTTAAAATAATGTTTTTTAAATTGGTAGAATGAGTTTTAAAAAATAAAATAAAAGCTTTTAAAGTTTTTTTTTCCTTAACCACCCACTTTAGAAACTATCTTCAATTTCAAATCAAGAAAAGTTAGGCTCAATAAAAAATATGACATAAGCTAAGAACTAGATATGATATACTATGACAGATGGTAAGATATGCCAAGTGATTACATTTGTCACTAAAATTTTTCTATGTGAAAAACAGCATATTTTAAACCAAGTTATTAGATTTTTCATTCAACTTTCAAAGTAACACATAAAAAATACTTTAATGTACCTGTCCAATTGCCACTTGCTTTTTTGACTACACCAAAGGGAAGATGATCCTGAAAAAAATGCCAAATGGTTTACAAATGGGACATACTTTTCACAACAAAGGTTATACAGATATGTACAGTCCACTACATGTTCTCAACAGGGACATTTTCCTCTCTTGAGGTAGGTGACTCTGGGTAATGGCAACATGGAAAGGGCAGCTGATGGAACAGCACCACCACTTTACCTTGGTCCTTATCCAAGTACCTTAATAGCTATTTTGCCACAAGGTCCAGAGTTTGGTTAAAAACTTTTGCTGGAATAAGATTCCCACGAAGAAAAAAATTTTGTTTTTCTTTTGACATAAATACAAAAAAAGTTTTGAAGTGTAATTTGAAAGTATGAGATATAGTCAACCACTGAGAGTGAAGAAAATGGGAGTGGAGACTAGAAAAACAGAGAAAGATTAAAAAAAAAAAACCCTAGACCTATCCAGGTAAGAGTTGTAGGTCACACTTGTAATGCAGAGAGGATAAAGGAGGGAAGAGATGGACTAAAGGACTACTGAGCTGACTGGCTAGAAAGTATGAACTGGTGAAAAAATTGTCTGAACTTAAGAATGATGCTGAAGTGACTGATACACAGAGGTAAATAAACAGAAATGTATGTAGTAGTGCACACTAAGTCTGCACTACTTATTTGTCTGACAGATGTTTCATTTAGGTTCTAGAGCAGATTTTGTGGGAGAAATGCTGTTACAGAGTAGGACAGAATAACAACAAACCCTCAACCCCTTCAAAAAACTAAAAAACAATTTCACAGTGGCAGTTTTCCCAGAAAGTCAATGACATGGACATCAATATTCTTCAGAAAAGAAAGCTTCTCTCAGTGCATGATACATGCCAGGCCAATCAGGTGTAAACTATTAAAAATAAAGGCATCTTTATTCACAAAGCATCCATTCCCCCAAAAAGGTCAAAATATCAAATCTTACTTTTCTTCCTTTTACTGATTGAAGCCAAATGTTATCTACCTCCAGAAATCTGTGTTCTTTTTATTTTACCCATTCTTCCTTCTTCCCATGAGTCTCAAAACTTTTCTATTTCTACCTGGGCTTTTATTCCCAAACTCTCAGACTCCTGGATTTTGATCCATTTCTCTATTTTCAATGCGTTCCACCCACTGGCTCTTAATTACCTTTACAGGTCTCCCTAACATCACGAGATTATGGTATTGCTGACAGTCACTCCTTTGTTCAAATCTTCTCCTCAGTGAAAACTCAGGATCTGGGTTCTTCTCTTTCTCTTTCCTTCTCCTCCCATCTATCCCCCTTTCCTTTTCTCTTCACAAACACTCTTTCCCTAACTCCCATTCCCTAAATTTCAACTACATTTTCTGGATGAAAGAATCTAAATCTGCCTCTCTAGATTCAATCATTCTCAAGCATTGGTACCACAATTTAAATTTCTTGCTGGACTGTTCTAACAGGATATGCCACTGGCTACTAAAACTCAACACATCTAAAATTACACTTCTATCTCCCACATTCAAACCATGTTTTTCTATTCCTTTGCTTCTTTTTTCATCCATGCCTGTCTTGCCAAATCTACATCTGAAATGTCTGGAAGTTACCCTTTCCTTGAATTTCCACTGCCACCATGGAACTAAAACTTAGCTTCCTACTTTGTTTCCTTTTTGTATGTCCCACTAAAGCCAATCCTGCATGGAGGCCTAGGACTTTAATCCATTTAACTTACTGCCCAATGGATCCCTAACATGGCCTATTTAGAATTGTTACTCATTTACATTTATTTTTAATTTTACTTTTCAAAATTGCGATAAACGTGTAAAATTTACTGCCTTAACCATTTTTATGTGCATAATTCAGTAGTGTTAAGTATATTCTGTCAGTTTAAAAATAGGGTTAGCTTGCCCACATTAACTAGATGGGAAATTCTTGACCACCTCCACGATACTACTACAGATACAGAGAGATAATCCCATCAGCTGTCAGGCCAATAGTTGAAAACCATTAAGTCACTGAAATGGAAGATATTGTAATTAATTATATGATTTTTTTCCCCAAGTTTGATGCCATTAAAATGTCACAAAACTGAAACTATGAATTGACAAAAAGGATGAATAAAATTACAAATTACTTCAGTCACATTTTTAACTCTGTACCAAGTATAATCGCTTTTCCTTCATAAAAATTTACCTATTGGAAGTGAAAAAAACATTTACATGAATGTTTTAATCCACCCTTGGGAAAAACGTAGCATCCATGAACTCCAAACTCCTTAACTTGGTTCTCAAAATTGTCTTCAATGGTCCCACAATGTTTTCCTGGACTCTTTTTCTATTATCTTAATTTAGTCAAACTCAATTATGTATAATTCTAGTATAGCCTGGATGTTTCTACTTAGGGTGTCATAGTATAACGAGTTTACAGCAGGTTGTGGAGCCAGACCCTTCAGGTTCTAATCCTGGCTCCACCACGTACTGCTGCATGGTAGTACTTTGGTAGTGGGAGTGATGACTATGTCAACTTTCTATGCCTCGTTTCCCCGTCTGTAAAATGGGGAAATTAATACGATCCACCTGATAGGGTTGTTCCAGGGCTGAGTCAATTCACGTGATCACTTACAGCACTGCTGGCAATGATACGCACACGGATGTTTATTAGTATTATTCCTGCAACCCCAAAAGCCCTCCAAAGTCCGTTCAAATGCCATCCCCCGGACGACCCAGTCAGAGAAGACCTCTTGACCCCTACAGAACTCTGACAGAGCATTTACAGCACGGTCAGACTTCGAAAGTGCTTGCAAGAGCGTCCGGAGACACAGGCTTCCCCAGTCCCCGGCCTCCTGACCCAGGAGCCCGCCGGCGGGGACCGCCAACGCTTTGGGGTCTGATTTCTCCATCAGCTGGGCACACATCCACCTGACAGGAAGAGCCACGTGAACGTGGTGGGCACTTGGTAATCGAGCAGCTGCTCCGCAGAGACGGCACGCCCGAGCGCCCCGGGTTCCACATTCTCAGCTCAGTGAGGAAAAGGATTTGGGACGAGGCGCCGCACCCAACCCTCGGCCTCTAGCCACGGACCGGACGCACTCGGGCCCGGGGCCGCCGTTTCCGTGCTCGCGCTCTCGCGACTCGCCGGGGGCCTCAGCTTCCGCCCCCACCGCCCGCGGCAGTGTCACCGTTGCAGCAGGAGAACTCGACGGGCCGAAGGCATCCGGGCCTCTGCCCTGATTCAGTCTTACCTCAGACCGCGGCGGGAAGAGGAACAGCAGCCGTAAGGGAAAGGCGGGGACTCAACATGGCCGCCGGTGCCGCCCCCTCGGCCCCGCCCACCCTCGGGCCCGCGCGCTCTGGGATCGAAACGCCTGAGTCCCTTCTCAGCCCCGCCCTTCCACACCCCCGCCCCGGAGGCTCCGCCCCCACTGTCCCCGCCTCCTCCGTCTTCTCCCGCCTCCTCGCAGCGCCATGTGGGCGGCTCCTCCTTTTCTTGACCCGCGACCCACCAACGTCAAGGACTCGCTGGCCGTGCTGGCCCGGCTCTCTCTTTCCGGGGGATGCAAGATAAGGCCGCGGCTTGAGTAAACATGAGCTCTGGCCCCAATTAACTCGTGGAAAATATTTCCACATAACCCTTTGAAGTTATTTAGAAACCACGGCATGATTTCAAGTCTCCCCACCCCTCCAAATCTTCCCGGTTCACTTACTTGGTAACTGGAGTTAAACACGAGTCTTTAAAACATCTCCTGTGCTGGAAACGTAGGAGCTTCAGCGGTGTCCTCTTTTCTCCCTTCTTTCAAAGTTGGTTGAATTGGGTAGTATAGATGTTGGCTGATGGCTTACAGCAAATAGTTCCTTGACCTTTTGCTCCCTTTGCTTCCTTTAACCAAACTGATTGTGAGTGTACTTTGCCCATAGAGAAAATTAAATCTGATTACCAAAAAAGCTTACTAAAATTTTAAATGAACAGCTTGACTAATTGCAAATGACGTTTTCTGAAAGATAGGGCTGGTTTCATGGGCATGCAACCTGTGGTGTAGAACAGGATCTCAGAAGGACCCAGCACTTGGTTTAACTCTTTCCTGTGCCACATTGTTAATAAACTTTGGAAGGGCCCCATATTTTCCTTTTACACTGGGCCTTGCAAATTATGTGGCGGATCTCGCTGAAAGGACTGGTAGGTGAAGTGGAACTGACGTTATAAATATACCACACAGGAGATTGCCTGTCAGAACCTGTCCTGCGGCCCAGGCCCATTTGGCCGTGGACTGAACTAATCTGTGAACTGAAACTGTGGAACTGTGGATCAATTGGTATTCAGTCTGGGGATAGTATTTATTTAATCAAAATAATGTTTTTATTCTGAGAAATTATTGAAAAATTTGTTTTACTTCCTACTGTTTTTTAATATAACTCACCGAAAGGGGAATTTTCTTCTGAGTTTCACAACTAGAACGCAATACCCAAGTTTGCAAGTTGTTTAGAACTGATAAGAAATATCTGTAAAAAGTTAAAGGTGTGTATTTAATACATTGATTGCTGTGGGGTGCAGACTAGCCTAAGAACTGGGAGATGAAGTCTTTTACTGAAAGGTTCTTGTGTTAACACAATGTGGTAATAACCAGAACTAAAATTTATTTTACATAACATGTAATTATAATAATTCCAATAAATGTATTTCTTCTTTAAAATTATAAATATGATTTTATAATATATAACTTGAAAAGACATATGTATGCACCCCCCCATGTTCACTGCAGAATTATTTACAATTGCCACGACATAGAAACAACTTCAGTGTGCATTGATGGGTGATGGATGAAAAAAATACGAGATTTTATATATACATATAAATAATAGAGTATTATTCAGCCTTAAAAAAGAAGAAAATCTTGTCATTTGGTACAAGATGAATAAACCCCAGGGCATTATACTAAGTGAGATAAATCAGACAGAGAAAGACAAGTACTGAATGATCTCATTTATGTGTAGGACCTTAAAAAAAAAAAGCACAAAACCGGAAGCTCATAAATACGGAAAACAGACTGGGTGGAAAGGTCCAGACTTCCAGTTATGAAATAAATGAGTCCTGGGAGATGGTTCAAGATGGCGACGTAGGGGGAGCCTGAACTCCCGTCCTCTCAGGGACGTACCAAGGCTGCAGCTACTTTTGGACAATTTACTCCGAAAAAGACCTGAAAACTAGCGGAGCAACTACTTTACATCTGCAAAGGGAGCACGTCAAAGCAGGTAGGAGAGGCCGAGCCAGAGTCTCAGCCATAAACCCCACCGCTGGCTCTCCGGGTCGCAGTCCCGGGGGCTCTGGCAAAACTGGAGCTTCTACCCGAGGAGCAAAGGGTTCGTCCACTGCTTCAGGCACCCCAAGTTTTGAGGCCTAAATTTGAGAAATGAGCCCCCAAACACCTGGCTTTTAAAACTATGAGACTCAAAAGGCTGGAGGAGCTGAGAAGCGGCCCGTAAAGGGCTTGCACACTCTACTCATCCTCCTCAGGGCTCAGGGCAGAAGCAGCCCAGCCGTTTGAAAAGTGCCCAGACTTCATGTGAAAGAGGTTAATTTGCTCATCTTGAAACATCGCTGCCTGACTAGCTGTCGGTGGGGTGCTAGAGGGGGTCGGAACACTCTGGGGAAGGGGTGCTGGTGCGGCCATGTTCATGGTCTCCCTCCGCCTTGCTCAATCCGGAGGCTGCCGGTTTTTCTCATTTTGGACTTCTTTTTTCTTTTAACTTGGGGGTGCCCATTTTTGCGCTCTCCCTTTGACACACTCCACAATGCCAGTGTCTCCTGGAGGGGAGCTTTTACACACGTCTGGTGCCCTGGTTTTTGCAGCTGCAGCCCAAGGGGATACCCGGGCCCCGGGGCCAGAGCACCAGACTGGACCCCAGGGCACTGCTCACACCGCAGACTGAAACACAAACTACTCTTTCCGAGAAAGAGGCCAGCCTGCCATTCTGCGTGTCCTGTGGAGCTTTGGCTTTGGGGGCTGGCTACATTTCTGCTCTCATCTCTTTCTAAATATAGCACTATCTCCAAATTAATAGCACCTTCGCTGATTTCAAAGCTTCATAAAGTAAAAATTACATATTCCCACTTTCATGATTTCAGTTATTCATCCCACTTTTTAATTGATTTTAACTATTATTATATACAGTATTAATTCTATTAATAATACAAGTATATATTTGAAAACAAAAATATAGAATAGTTCAATAAATTAAATCACCAATAATCCTACTATTTAGAGAGAATTTAATTTCTCTGCTAGGCCATCTGATCATTTAAAGTTTGAAAACACTTGCCTGTAAAGCTTTTTGTGCCTGACAAATTTTTGGAAGCAGTAGTGAAACCTTTTTCACTTTCTAACATGATTATTTAGATTTTTAAATTACTTTCAAGGTAAATTTTGATAATTTATGTTATCCAAAAAGGTAATCTATATGATCCAGATTTTATATTTTTTGTAGCATTTTCTCTTAAACCATAAAAATCTCCACACCTGCGGTTATCGCACTTTCACCTTGTTAGTGTTGAGTGTTGTGTTCTTTCTCTTTTTAGCTTGGCTCTTTCATTCAGGATTCTTTTTAGTTGGTCTTTCCAAAGAACTGTACTTAGATTTATGTATGAATTTTTAAAATGGAAATTTAAAATGTAGTCCTGCAAGAGGGAATACTGAGTGAACTGTTTTGAAGATTTTTACTACTCTTGAAATATACTGCCAAATTGCTTTCTAGAAAGTTTGTGAGACTCATGTGCAGTGTTTATCTTTAATTCTCCCTTTCACAAATTGGGTATAGTTGCTATTTATACCTCAATAAGATTGGAAAAAAATAAAAAAACAGAGTAGGGTCATATTATTAATGCATTGTTTTAAAATTACTCCATCTTTTCTTTTTGACAGTTGTATAGTGTTTCATTCTGTGGATGTAGCACGTTTTACGCATCTAATGCCTTATTGCTCTGGTTACCAGTGTGGCATAAAAACTACTCTAAAACTTAGTCATGTGAAATATCATTTTGTTGCACTCACTCTATGGTTTAGAAATTCAGACAGAGCACAATGGGAATGTCTTGTCTTTGATACATGATGTCTGGGGCCTCAGCTGTGGAGAACTAACTGCTGAGGTGACTTAATAACTGGAAAATGAAATCGTCAGTGGGTATTTTTACTTACATACCTAATAGTTGATACTGGCTCTCATACAGAGCCCCTGCCTCTCCATGTGGTCTGACTTCCTCACAGTATGACAACTAGAGGGTCGCTGGACTTTTTCCATGGTGACTGAGGGCTCTAAAGAAACTGCACAGCCTTTTCTGGCCACTTCTGTTGCATCCTATTGGTCATAGTTGTCACAAGCCTTCCTAAATTTCAGGAGAGGGGATATAGATCCCATCTCTTGATGGGAGGAATGTCAAAGAATTTCTAAAACCAGCCACACCTGTTACGAACGTATAAACTGTTTCTGATTTTGTTCATTACAACAACACAGCACTGAACGTGTGCATGCACTCTGTGTGTACACAGCAAGGATTCCTGCAGGGTGTATTTCCCTTAAACAGAGCATGCACGTTTGGAATTTTGATAAATCTACCTAATATCATTCCTACAAGGCTTTGCCAAATATATGCATATGAAAGAAACTTTCCTTATCCCTTTTCTGACACCAACTTGTATTTGAACATATTTCCAAGATAAAAATATTTTTCTACCAGGGAATTTTTAATGGATGAACAGTTTTCTATATAATGTATCTTACCACTCTCATTTGTATGTTTAGATTGTTCCTAATTTTTCATTATTATAAAGTATTTGATGATGTCTATCCTTGTAAGTAAACCTTTGCCTATTTTCTTGTTTCCTAAGGACACAGTCCTAGAAGTGGAATCACTAAGTCAAAATTTGTTCTCTTGTTTTGAGCCTGCTGATGTGTATTGCCAAAATAACAATGTTTATGCCATTTTACATCCCCATTAACTTCTCCCATTCTCTTTATCCTTCTTCCATTAGGCAGTGTTCTTCAACAGTGGGACATTGAATTTTGTAATGTGTAACCCAAAGCATATTTCACAACAAATTCCTAGTGTGAATTCAGAAATCACACAGAATAACTCTCTAGCTGTAATTCTCTATGAATGGGATATTTTGGTGACTGCATTGTTTCTTTGATGTGCACCATGTGTTAAAAAAAAGTGAGAAAACTCAGTATCTAGACTGTTTACCACCTGTCATTCTCTCCGTGCCCCAAGTATGGTTGCATTTATACAACGATGCTTTGGCATTATTTTCTTATATAGCTGAAATGAAAGCATGTGACATTTGGAGTGGTTTTATGTAGTATTTAT